TGCTGAACTGAATGTCACGCTCACAAACCCTGTCAGCACCAAAACAATATGAAGGGAACTCCACATGCAGGGTATTTCTGGACGAGCTGCAATTCCAAAGCCACTGATCAGTGATCAAAATGCCACTAAGAGGACAGTGTGGTGCCGAAGTCATAAAACCTGGACTATGGAGCAATGAAAGACAGTCATTTGGTTGGATGAGTCCACCTTCACACTGTTTCCGACTTCTGGCCGAGTTTACATCTGGAGAACGCCATCCCAAGCTTACGATCCAGATTGTTTGCTGACAAGAGTGAAACGTGGCGGGGGTTCAATCATGGTATGGGCAGCCATATCGTGGTATTCTGTCGGATCCATCATTACCCTGCAAGGTCACATCACTGCCATCTACTGTGTGACCATTTTGGGCAACCAGGTCCATCCCATGGTGCAAACTTTGTTCCCAAATGGTGATGCCATTTACCAAGCCAACAATGCCTGTGTTCACATAGCTCACATCGTCCAGGACTGGTTTTCTGAGAACGAAGATGAAGTGTCACGTCTGCCATTGGCCCCACAATCGCAAGATATCAATATTATTGAGCCTTTGTGGTCTGCTTTGGAGAGCAATCTGCATGCGCGCTATCCACCACCATCATCGATAACAGAACTTACCATGTTTTTCAGGAAGAATGGTACAAGATTCCCTTGCAAATCATACAGGACCTCTATTTATCCATTCCAAGGAGACTGCAAGCCAGAGGTTGTCCTACACCATATTAGTCACAGTAATGTGTTTTTGTTGGGTATTTCCGTATTTTTGTCCATCCCCTATATATGGCATGTAGAAACAATAATAATTCAGAATTAAGGAAGTATTATAAAAAATACTGTAAAATTTTATCTAAGGTCATTAAGGAAGCTGAAAAACTAAAATATGATAACAAAATTCAAAATTCCAGAAATAAAAATAACCATATGGGATGTAGTAAAATTAGAAACTGATAAGAGGCCAGATCATGAAAAAATATGCACATTAAAGGTTGATGGAAAATGGATTAGAGAAAAGCAAGTAATTGCGGAAACCTTTAACAATTACTTTTTATCTGTAGCTGAAAATAAAAATGCAAAAAATAAACAAAATAATACTAATATTAGTTACCTTCCAGACACTACTCCCATTCAGTATTTAATGAAAACTTTTGTAAATCCCTTTCCACATATTAAACTTAAATCTTTTATCAACTAAGGAAGTTGAAAATATAATTAAAGCTCTCAAAGCAAAACACTCTTATGGATATGATGAAATATCCACTAAAGTATTAAGAATGAGTTCCCTTTTCATTATCTCTCCTTTGACTTGCATATGCAACAATTCATTATCACACGGAATTTTCCCAGATCGTTTAAAATACTCAGACATAAGACCGTTGTTTAAAAAGGGTGAAAAAACAAATATTTCCAACTATATGCCTATATCACTTTTAACTTCGTTCTCTAAGGTATTAGAAAAAGCTATGAGCATTCAATTGATTGGGCACTTAAATAACAATAACATTTTAGTGGAAGAACAGTTTGGTTTTAGAACAAAATCTTTAACAGATGAGGCTATAAACAAGTTAGTGAATGAAATCTGTAAGACCTTTAACAGCAAACACTTAATAGGAGGCATTTTTTGTGACCTAGAGAAGGACTTCAATTGTGTTAATCATGAGGTTCTGTTGTCAAAATTGGAGTTATATGGGATAAAGGGTAAAACTAAACTATGGCTTGAATCTTATTTCATAAATAGATATCAAAGGCTTTTAATAACAAATATAAATCTTAATCTCAATAAATTTTCGACATGGGGCAAAATTATACTTGGTGTCCTGCAGGGTTTAATTCTGGGTCCATTGTTATTTCTCATTTATATAAACGATTTACCCAAAGCTGTAAATGATAAAACTGTACCTATATTATTTGCAGATGACACTAGTTTGTTAGTTAAAAGTTCAAACTATGATGATCTCTGTGTAAATATAAACGATGCTTTTCATAGTATAAATCAATGGTTCAAAGTAAACAAACTTTCTATAAATTTTAACAAAACCCACTACATTCAATTTACAGCTAGAAATAAAAATTGTATATGATAAAAAATAAATTACATCTATATCCAATATTAAATTTCTTGGAATATTCATTGATGAAATAATGAGCTGGAAATACCACATTCAGTATATCAGTTCAAAACTAAGTGCAATCTGCTACATAATAAGATCGCTTAAACCATACACGTCCATAAATACCTTAAAACTGGTTTATCACTCCTATTTTAATTCTATTATAAATTACAGTTTACCTTTTTGGGGTAACTTGCCCCAAAGTATAAAAATTTTTAGAATGCAAAAGAATATAATTAGAATTATGTTGGGACGCAGAAGGAGGGATTCGTGCAGGAACTTATTTAGAGAATTAGAAATCTTACCTCTGGCATCTCAGTACATACTATCTCTTATGCTCTTTGTGATAAAAAATAGAAACAAATTCATAGTAAATTCAGAGATTCATAGAATAAATACCAGACAGCAAAATAATCTCCATCAGCCTCTTGTAAATTTGAGTAAATACCAAAAGGGAGTTTACTGTTTAGGAACAAAGGTCTATAATAATCTGCCACAATATACTAAGGATATATCGAGTGACACTAAGAGTTTTCAGGTACAATTAAAACAGTTTTTATATTTACATTCTTTTTATTCTTTACAGGAATATTTTGGTTATAAATCTTTTTAAGGTGCGAGTAGTTCTCTTGCTTAACAGTTAAAAGAAGACAAGGTTGTCAGTCTGTGTTCTGGTTTTTAGATGCTTATTTTAGATATACACAATTTTTATATTACTGTATACTAGTCTTTATTTCAATTTATTATATAATTAATGTATGTTATACAAAACTCATTAATGACATTATGTTTTAACTATTGAATTTTTAATTAATAGACTTGCATATAACTGTACAAATTGTATAAGGGTTGCCATTACTTTTACTACTAAAATTAAC